CCCCTGTGTGGAGTAAGACAAAGAGATGGAGATCAATGACCAACCACCATTTGTATACAAAGAATGGCATGTATTTTACAAGGGACACATGGAAACAGATGGCTCTTGATGGGAGAATTAGAATTGGCTGCAGATGGAGGGTAGATGGCCATGCCTGGGTGTGGTGGGAGCAAGGTCATAAATAAACAGTAAACACTAGAGATGACAATTTGCAGTAACTGAAGGGTATGAGTGATTTAGCCCCCTGCAACCAAGAGAGAGCAGGAAAAAGGGAAGAAGGGTGAACCATGGCCCACAGGTCGTCGTGGCTGCATTTGAAGAAGAGGAGGGGGAGCACCCGAGGAGAGACCTGCCCCTTCCGGCCAACAGAGCCTGGGGTACCTACCACCACCCTGCTCCTTTAGAAACTTCTTCTGCTTCCTTCTCTCCCCCGTATCTTCCTGTGGTAGAATTTCCTCCTTGTTATCATGGTTAGAAGCTGTGATTTTTTTTTTTCAAAAGAAATTTTAATAGAAAATTGCTTCTGCCCCTGACTCTGAACAGGCTGCTTCTACTGACAACCCACCAGAAATAACTCCGCCACGTGCTCCCTCCTGGCAGCACAGGGGGCTTGGACGGGTCGACTTCATCCTGGGCAGCGACGTGCCTGTTTGGATGGCTGACTGTCCCGGTTTTGTCTGGACTGAGGGGGTTCCTGGGACACTGGGCTTTTGGTGTTGAAACTGAGACAATACCAGCAAAAACAGGAAGAGTGGTTAGCCTGCAACTATGATCAAGGAGGCAGAAGACAAAAGATCGTAGGATGCTAGGGTCTGGTGGTCTCTGCCACGGGGACACTCTTAATTTTTATAGGTGGAAATAAAGACTAGACCCTAAGTTCCATCACACAGATGAGGGATTATTAGAACAGACACAGAATGGCCCCTGGAAGAGAAACTGTGAGGTGACACACCTGGTCTTTGGTGCCTCTGAGTTTGCGTGTCTGTACCCTCCCTGCAGACTGGAGGCCTTAGTGGATCCACCGGTCTACACACCCGTCCATTCACCCGTTCATCCATCTGTCTGTCCGTTCACCTACCTTTTTGTTTGAAATCAGTCACTGAGCAGCAGTCATGGGCCAGTCAGTCCCTGAAGATACTGAGATGAATAACAGCACATAGTGCCCGCCTCCCAGGAGCTCGCAGTTCAGTGTGGAAGACGCAGTCCCAGCAGGTGACCACAGAGCAGGAGAATAACTAACTGGAGGTTTATACGAAGTTTAAAGGGACCCAGTAGAAGGAAGAACCAAATATGACTTAGGTCAGAAGAGTCAGAGAAATGGATGGTGATGATTGGGGGGTTACATTGGTGTTTGCAAGGTAGGGAAGGGGGCCTGACGGAAGCAGGGCCCAGGCAGGGTCCAGGCTGGGGAGCACCCAAAAGCACAGTGCAAAGCTGGACTGAGCATGTTGGGCTGGAATGCAAGAGTGGACGGTGTGTGTCCAGGGGACAAGGTTGGGGTAAGATGTGTGGATTGAGGAAGGCAGGGAGGAAGGTGTGAAGAGCCTGAAATATGGCTGAAAAGGTCAGTTTGGCCAGATCTGAACACCCAGGAGCACTTTCCTTGGAGTATTTTTATGATCCGACTTCTCAGACAGAGTCTTTCCTCTACTGAAGTGTGTTATGAGTGCAGACAAGGGGAGTGGTGTAGATGCACTTGCCCAGAGCCTTTTGACCTTGGCACATGTCCTCATGGCATGAGGGAACTCAGCTTGGGAACGGCTCAAGGGACCTCAGGGGACACCTCCAAGTACCTCTCCTCCAAGAGCATTCCTTTGTGCCTGGGGACAGGCCATAGTCTGCCACATTTCTTCCTTCAATAATTTACAGACTGCGTCCTACTGTCTGTAGAATGGTAAGGCTTTTAGAGCTGGCAAGGCCTTTGGAGACTCTAGTAAAAACCCAAACTGAGAGCTAGAGGGGAGGCATCACTGAAATGATCAGAGGCAGAGACGGACTAGGATTGAAGTCTTGGCATTTGAAGACCCCAAATGTTTAAGGGACTCGAAATAGAAACAGGATTTAGCCTTGAACTGTCTCCACGTGGCTGGATGTGATGGATCAAGTTTTCAGCTGATAGAAGGTAACATAGAAACATAGGATGTCAGTTTCTATCAGGAGCTGATGGAGCTGAGCAGCCCGACTTACTGACAGAGCCTTTAGTAATTCGCTTCACAAATGTGCCAAACCTACAGAAGTTCCTGGAAATCCAGTCTTCGAGGAGCTCTTTGTTCGGTTGAAGATAAACAGTTAAACTCCAGAGTGAGAAGTACTGTGAGAGAGGGAAGCCCAGGGACCGGAGGGACTATGGAGAGGAGATACACAGCCCAGGAGAGGAGAGGGGGCTTTCTAGGGGGCAGTGGCCATCCACCGAATGGTGTCCTGCGGCAAAGGGAGTTTGTTGAGCAAAGAAAGGCTGGGTGGTTGGCAAGGGAATTCTAAGCAGGAGGAGCATCCCTGTGAAAGCTGAGAAAGCCTGGAGGTTTGGGGAATGACATATGTTTCCTGTGCTCACATTGGCTGGAGTGACATTCAGCCTGCTGGCTGACGAGTAGTAAATAAGAGGCACCAACTGAGTACATATTAACGATGATTGCTTATAGCCCCTCACTCTTCCCTTTCCTACAAGAGTCGCCCAGCTGGTTATGTGTCAGTTGGATTGTAGTGAGAATGGAAGGTCAAGGACAGGTTTGGAGGGGGTAGGGAAGGGGGCCCATGGACATGCGGGTAAGAGAGGGAGGAAGAGCTGGAAAGTGGGAAAGTGCCCAGAGCAAGAACACGGAGGCTTGGGAGACAGCCTGCATGCATCTCACATCTGCTCAGGATGTCTCCACTAACCCTGGGGTCCTCTTGAAACCATGAAGGAGTGAGTACTGCCAGCAGCTGATGCTTAGCCGCTTCCAGGTTCATGCATGGCCAGTCTAGTGGCTCCCCTAGGGGCGCGGTTATGGACAGTGTCACAGCCTGTGGTGTGAAGGCATGTGGGAGGAGTGGAGCAGACAGATCAGAGCGTGCACTGTGGGGATGGAGCCCGAGGTCGGGGGTGAGAGCGTGGTGTGTGAGTGTGTGGGGGGGAGCGTGCATTCACCACTTTGCCTGCATGAGCATTGGTAAACTTTCGGGGGTGGGCTTTTGGGGAACAGACCTGCTTTTTATGGCCCTACAGTGCTCTCCTGTGTTGTTGCCTTTGCTTTGCATGAACACCCTGTGAGAGAGGAACTTTCCTTGCCAGTGAAGAAACCAGGACACCAGGATGGAAAGGTTAAGTGACTTTCACAGGGCTCCCCCCAGGGTCCAGCAGATGAGAAGCCCGGTGTGACTCACAAACCTGTGCCCTTTCTGCACATGCCCTCTAAGCCCAAAGAGAAGACTGGTCTTTTCTGTCCCCAGCTTTCACAGATGCCGAGTGGGGGCCTTTGCGACCTCTACTGTGTGTGTCTTCCTCCCAGTTGCCATGTGCCGCCCCATGAGCAGAACCTGACTTTCCGACTGCTCTGCAGTGCAGATGCGTTCTGCAGGGCTCAGAGATGGTGAACATGTTTCACTCTCAAGTACACAATGCTGGACTTCTGGATAACCTTAGCAGTTGTAAATGATTAAATAGCTCACTTCCGGGAGAGATCAGACAGCATTCTTCTCGGGTGCATCGTCAGTGATAAAGTGTAAACATGTTTAGAATAACCTTATGCTACCTGTGATAAATTGGGTACGAAAATTACCTTCTTCAGCTACTTGCAAACAGCAGTGTAGACAGTGCTTTGGATCCTTTTCCATAGGAGAGGGGGCCAGTTTGGGGGAGGCAAGAACCACGGGATTTGGGACAGAGGGCCTCAAACACCCGCTCTCAGCCACCCACTCCCCCACCTTGAGGCACTGATAACGCTGGAGTCGGAGGGCCCAGTCTTCAGCATTCCTTTTCTTCTCCTCCCCCATTCCTGCTTGCTACTACCCTCTCTCTGGCCAAACCTCCCTCCCTGGAAGGTGCAGGTTTTACCTCCTTTTTAAAAACCCTACCAGACACTGTAAATATCACTCTCTTTTCTCTGACTCCCACTGTGGCTTTTAATCAAACAGAAACAATGAGAAAACCCAGGTCCCACCCTTCCCTGAGGTCAAAGAAACTGACGTTCACCTTTCCCATACACCCCCCGGCCCCACCCTCTCCTGTGCGTTCCAGGCTCAGGGCCTGGAACTCAACTACATATGCTCTTGCCAGGTGCTGCTCTGAGGCTAATGGTCAGCGGGTGCTGGGCTGGGGCAGCTGGCGGCTCACAGGATGTGGGGCTGGAACCCAGGGAGCACTGGGTGCCCACGGCTTGGAGCAGCTGGCCCTGAGGAATTACTGCAAGTCTGCACAATTTAGAAATCTGCAGTTTGGCAGTTTGGAGGCGGGAGGGGAGCGCGGGGGCGGGCATCCCGTTTCTCCTGCTCGGGCACTTCACTGAGCCTTCCTGCTCCCTGCAGAGGGGCCGGCAGGCAGTGCCTTCTGGACAGCACTCAGCCCTCGCTGAGGTCCCAGTGACTTCCTCAGTCTCCGCCTCAGGCACCGATTCTCCTGGGACCGTCCCCGCTTCTACTTTTCAGAAAGCGGTACCGATTCTGTTCCGTGCATGGGTGCATGCCCCCCCCCCTTCTGACTTGGTAAGTCGAGGAACAGAGGGTGGAAACCAATCTTGTTCTGGTCTGTGCATGCGTTTGCAGGCAGCACGGGGCTGTTTTCCCCTTTGTACTTTGTTTTGAAACAAGTTGGGGCCGCAGGAGTTCTAGAAAAAAATCCGACAAATCTGCAGGGTTGCTTGGGCCCCGACTTTTGAGAAGCAGTCGCCGGAGCCTTTGGGGCCTCGGAGGAACTGGTGTGTCTCCCCAGGGGTTACGGTGAAGGGCTGGAGGTGGGAGGTGTCCAGCGCTCCCGCTCCCTCCTGGACGCCCTGTCCAGGGGTGACTGTGCACTTGGGTCTTTGCGGGGACTGGTGCCCTATACGGCTGCTTCTCTCTCTGCCCAGCATTCCTCTGCCTGTCTTGTGGCCAGACCCCCCCAGAGCCAGCAGCGGTCCGCGGCAGGGCACGGAGCCCTCCACCCTCGGCCGGGACGGGCTGGCAGAAGCCAGGTGGCGGGCGGAGCTGGGACCCAAGGGGCGTTGCCAAGAGGCCAGCCCCGCCCTGCCCCGCCCCGCCTGCGGCTCCCTGGGGCTCCATGCTCCTGAAGAGCTGGAAAGACAGACGGACAGTGGTGGCCACGCTTTCCTCGCAGCCGCTGCAGCGGCCGCTGGCCGCGCATTGAGGCCTGATCCCTGCAGCGCAGGCGGCACTGCGGAGCCAAGGGAACAGAGGCGCCGGACTCCTGCAGGTAACTACTTCTGTCCCCACCGCCCCGAGCGCTCGCTCCCGAGACTTCTCTTCGACCCTGCAACTTTCCCCACGTTTTGCTGCCCCAGCACCCCAACCACCGGTGGCCCAGGTCACAGGTGCACGTCCCCGGAGTCTAAGTCTGCAGGGGATTTTGCATCCTGCTGGGTGCTCTCCATTCTTCGTCCCCATAACACCACCCCCCTCCCCGTTACTAGAGCCTGAGAGATCCGCCTGTTGCGTGACTTGCGGGCAGCTGAGGGGTGCCTGGGTCCCTCCCTCCGAAAGCCGCAGGGAGGGTATCCAGGATTAGTTCCTGGGCGTGGGGGGTGGGGCGGGGATGGCAAAGTGTGGAGGACGGGCTGGAGGCCAGAGAATCCACGAGCTGGGGAAAGGCGGTGGCGCTTGCAAAGGGGCATCTCTGGGGCGTTTCTTTAGCCTACTCCTCTTCCTGGAGAGGAGGCGCTTTCCAGGCGAATGTGCTTCCCGGCGCCTGCTCCGCCGTATTCTCCGTCATACCTCCACCTCCCCTTTGCCCTACAGCAGTGAGAAGATGCCCCGCGACAGTTGCTGGGGAGAAGGCACCCTTGTCACCCTTTTCTTGGTGCAGCACTGCGCCCTGGGCTGCTGGGGTGCTCCTGTGGGAGCGGCTTGGGGTTCCCAGACTCCTCGTTTGCAGGAGTGGTTGTGATGGGAGTGGGTGCTCCAGGTCGCGAACTTCCTTTTCCCGCGCCACTCTGGATGGCAGGCTGCAGGGACGGGGAGAGCCGGAGCCGGCCAGCGCCTTTCGCATTGCAGGGCTCCTCATGTGCACCCCCACCCCCACCCCCCGCGGTCTCTACTTGTCTTTTTGGGGAAAGAAGCACCTTTTGCGCCCTTGGTTTTCCCCCACCTCGGCTGGAGAGACTGAGCCTGTATTCTAACTCAGGCAGTCCCTGGCAGGGGTGGAAGACCCCAAAGAATTCCACCCGCTGGGGTGATTGGGGGTGAAAAGGGGTGGGGGCTGTTTGGATGCTCTGGAGTGAATGCGGGGGTGGGGGCAGGGGCGGGGTGGGAGCTGCGGTGGTGTTCCTTGTCCTCTGAGCGAGTAGACTTTGTGCTTCCCTGACTTTTGGTTTTTGCATTTCCTCCTGCCTTTTGAAGAGTGGGGCACATGAGGATCCCCAGAGCAAAACCCTTCTCCATCCCTTTTCACTTATTTGCTTAAGTGGTTTGCATAACCATTCGCTTAGAACTGTATAAGTTACTCCTAGTTGCGCCTGCTTTTTAGACTGCTTGCAAATACCTGCCCAGGTTAACAGGAAGCAAGCTGTTTCCTAAGCACCTGCCCCCTTGCTAAAGCCAGGTGCCCCAGTGCCTCTCCTCCCCACTTGCATCAGGCTGAAAGGGTGGCACTGATTCTGTGGTGGGACAGGAGTGTTGTGTAGCTCTCATTCCTCACCTGGGTTGTGAACTTGAAGACACTGATTCATGCCTTTGCAAGCAGCCCACCCTGGGCCAGGGGCTCAGGGCTCTGCTTTGGGGATACAGAGTTGTAAGATGAGTTTTCTGCTCCCAGCCTAGTCCTGTTCTTCTTTTTTTAAAACTTCACCAAGCTCCTTCCTTCTCCTGTTCTAATATTAAATTTGTCCTTTCAGAAGTAGGATTTGTCAATATCGGGGTGGGGGAGAGAACTCTGAGTCCAGAGCATACTTTGAATATTCTAAGCAAACTTGTGGAATTTCGTTTCATTCGGTCTTTATGTCTGAGCTGTACTTATCATGAATGCAGAGAAGCTACACTTTTGATGGTCAAGTGTGTGAGAGCAAATTGGGAGGTTGGAAACAACCTTTGTTCTGGTCAAAAATATCGAAATATTAAAGATCCAATACAAAGTACCAGCAAAGTATTTTTTCATTATTATTCTGTTTTTTAAGAAAGGACAGGAAGAGTGAAATTCCAGACACCTCCTCTTTCTCCAGGGAATTTCGCCCTTGACTGTCATTCCTCACAGACTGCGCCTCCCTCTGTTCCACGGGAGACCTCAGTCTGCCCGGGGCCTGGCGTGGAGTGTTGGTGTGCATGTTAGCTTCAAGAGAGCAGGCACCACAGGATTTTCTTCCTCCTTTTTCAGCTTTTAGTGCGTGACATTCATTGACTCTATACTAGATGGCAGCTACTCTGCTCTGCACTTTCTCAGGCATTATCTCATTTAATTCACAGAGCAACCCCATCAGGAAGTGAGGCTGTCCTTTTTCACACCTGGGTTCCAGCCCTGATTCCAGCCTCCTTGTGGCACCTCGACTTGGCATATGCCACTTTGCTTCTCTGAGTCTCAGTCTGGTGACCCAAGACATCAGATGCCTAAGGCTTATTGTAGTCTCTTGTAGACACTGTCTAAAAGCTCTCCAGGTGTTAACTAAGTTCATCTCCATGACAACCTTAGAAGGTAGGCTTTATTATGACCCTATTTTTGACGAGAAAGAAGAGACAAACTGAATAACTTGTGCAAAGCCACAAAACTAGGCGGATGTGAAGGCAGGATTCTAACCCCTGGCCCCTGGGCCGCAAAGCCACTGTGAGAGTCCCATCTTCCCAGTTTATCCTTACAGCTCCAACACTGAGCTCAGCGCTTCACAGGATTCAGGCTGGGTCCTTAATGGTAACAGTTAGAGGTAGCTTGTGTTTACCAATTGACTTTTTGGCTTTCTGTCTCATCCTTAAAAGGAACCTTGAAAACAGTACTGGAAAAATGTCCTTTTTGCTTTTGCCAAAATAATCTTCTTTTCAATGGAATTCTGCCCGGCTGGTTGGGGAAAAATAAGACAGACCATTAAGATCATGGGCTAGGCAAATATTATGGCTGTTTCCAGAAAATGTGTTTATTATCAGCGAGAAACCCAGAAAAAAATCACAGAACACTTTGCACTTTGAGTCAAATCCATTAAAAAGCCAACCAGTAACCAACTGGTAAGAATTTGTTATGTGGGGGCCACGTGCCCGGGATAGTTGACACAAGGGCAGACAGATAACCTCTGAGCCTGAACTTACAGTAGACCTGGAGATTCAAGGTCAACAAGCGCAGAACAGGACAGTACGGGATGCTACATATTATTTGAGTCCTGATAAAAGTTGCAGTGACTTTTTGTGTAGCCTGTTGTAGTTTGCAGAAATGTTCACAGGGTTATGTTCTTTCAGTTTTCATAGTAACTGATTGTGGGGAGTGGTAGGCAGAGTGGAGGTTAGGAAGCTCATCTTGCAGATGGAGAAATTAAGGCAAAGCGGGCCTTGGCCTTGGCCGTGCCCAGATGTTTTATGACTCTCATCTCTGGTCCGCAGGAGGATATTGAGATTTGGAGGGTCCTTGGAGGTAGCTGAGTATGAATGTCATCCTGAAGCTTGCTTTTGGTTACCGGTCGTGGCATGGTGCTTAGTTGGAGGGGGAGGCATTGTTTTCCGCTGTTTTGTTTTTGCATTCAGGGACCTGGTATGTGAAATGTGCATAAATCCCAATTATTATGAATGCCATAACAATGTTTAGAATTTGCAATAAAATCTAGAAGCAGATTTAGAAGAATTTTCATCCTTTATCTTTTCTCTAGATCACCTTTTACAACTTTGCAACACACACACACCCTTACTCCTGATGAAAGGAAACTCCTCTTACTAGGCTAGAGTTGCTAGAGGAGGTTGTAGCATTTTTCTTGATGGGCAAGGCGTCTCACTCTCTTTGGAATCCTGCAGAGCCTTGTACCATGGTTTGCTCAGAGTAGATACTCTATAAAATTGTCTTTAAATGCACAAGTGTTGCATGATAAAGGCCCAAGATCTGCTTTTAGCCAATAATGTTACAGGGAAGCAGTTAATGTTGACTGCAGTGGCTTTAGTGTGCTTGCTGATGCCTCCAGTGAATGAAGCCTCCTGTAGCTCATTCTCAACTGAGCATGGAGCAGCTGCTTACCAATGTTGACGGCGTGATTGACTTGCGTACACACACACATCCTCTTTACATATGCAAATATGTATAAGCATCCATTCAATAAGTACTTACCTAGTGTTCTGTAGTATGCTAGGGGCTGGGTAAGGTGGGCTAAAGGAAACAGATGTGGGGATGGGCGGGAGATGGGTAAGGAGCTAGACAGTAAACAAATCAATGCAAACATTTTAGCAGTGGCAGGCACTCTAGAGAACTTCATGGGGAGGATAACCAGGGTGGGGAGAACCCTATTTTAGGTGGGAAGCTGGGAAGACTTTTCTGAGGAAGAGCATTCTAGGCTGAGGCAGGGGTGGGAGGATTCCATGGGAGGATGAGCATGGAGCTGTGGAGGGATTCCAAAAGAACCGGGTGGCAGAGCGGCTGGGAGGTGGTCAGAGAGGGTGACAAGGGCCAGATCATGCTGGGCTCTTTAGGCCAAGGTCGGGATCTTAAGAGTTTATCCGGAGAACTGTGATGAGGAATTAATGGAGTTTCAGGAGCCAATTTGTGTTTCTAGAAGAACATCGGTGAGAGCTTTGAGGCATAGATGAGAGAGGTGTGCTGGAGAGGTGGGACCTAAAGCCAGGTGGGACTGAGTGACAAATGAACGGGAGGTGAGGAAGCGGAGACCATACACATAGAGGTTGGTTATGAAAGGGGACAGAGAGACAGAGTGGGTGCAAACAAGAGTTGGCGTGTATGAACTTGTCTATGGGAAGATAACCTTGGCTGAGGTCAGGGAGCTGAGTTCAGCTCCTCAATAAGTCAACACATACACATCTCTGGGTGTGAGTTAAATGGTAGTAGCACTGTGGGAAGACTGGAAATTTGAATCTTAGCCTTGTCTCTGATTGCAGGGTAAATTTGAGCTTATCATTTTGTGCTTCTTCATTTTGTTTTTTTCCTCCCGCAACCTGGTAATTTTATGATACAAAATATGAATATCTTTCTGTGAATATTCTTCTTCAGTAGTGTTATTTGTTTGTGTTAACTTGGATCCTTTTTGTAAATTGATTGAGGAGAACTTTGAGTGGATATATGGCAATGTTTGTGGTGAGATTCTAAGCGTTCGCCAGTCTGCTTGCAGGCTGACTTACATGGAAAGACACCAGTGAAAAGCTTGGGGTATGGCCATACTAAGCCTCTCCAAGATACAAGGGAGTGAGTCCTGATGGAGAGCCTTGGGCAAGACTGCAAGTCAACTTCCATGTCTCAGTGCAAAACTTCCTTACCTGGCCCTCCTTATCACATGAGATGCTTCCTCTGTACCCATGGATGTTTTGTAAAACCTTGTAAGACAGGTACATCTGTCCTCTGGGAACAGCAGAATTTGCTGGCCCAAATGTTAATAATAAATATCACAGATAGCCTGATGTGGCTTTGAAGAAGTGAGAGGGAACCCGATGATCAATTTATGGTTGTGGAAAATGAGAGTTTAAATAGGACCATAGCCTTGAAAGTTACTCCAAAGATCAGTTAAGACATTTGCTGTCTCTTGAAGACTTCTTCCAGGAATGCTGACATATCCTGGCAAATAATTAGTGTGTTGAGATAAATAAATATCACAATACTAAAATTTTGAACTTGAACATGCTTACATTTCTTACTTGCATTCTTCCACAGACTGTTTTGGCTTTCTTAAGCCCTGATTGACATGCCCAGGTGGACCTGAAAGCATTTCCTATTATTTACCTAAGGTAAAGAATTTAATTGATCAAAGAGATGGGAGAACTTGGTGGTTAATGTCTGTGGTTTGGAGTTGTGGATTGAGAGAAGACACTTGGATTCTGGCAGGGTTATTTCAGCATTTTTGTTTTTGCGGTCAATAAATCATACATTCTGGGCAGTGTTTTTCTTGTGGGTTTGTTAAGATCCCAATTTTCTAAGTGTGGTACCCTCATAAAGCCACCGACATAAGGCTACCATCTTCCCTGCTCCCCTTGGTGATAAGACATTGCCTGGCCAAGATTTGGCCCCAAAGTGTTTCAGGGTTGCACCTTCTTGGGGGATTTTGTCTCCTCTGGGGTAAAAGTATGAATTAAAGTGTTGTTATGTGGCAGTGTGATCTATCATCTATCTATCTATCTATCTATCTATCTATTATCTATCTATCTATCTATCATCTACCTATCTATCTATCTATCTTTGCCGAAGTATGTAAAAGGTAATAAGATCACTGTATCTTCTCATCATCTCCTTAAATCACAAATTCTGTAGTATAGGCTGACTATGGATGGTCATGCGATGCCTTAGCAACTTTACCTTTTAAGCAGTGTCCCCGGGCTTCTTGATCTAGTTAGAAATCGAATGTCAGCATGGAGCATCTCTTAGGTGATGAGCGCTGAGCTTTTGTCTCCTAGCGGCTCCAGACCTACCTCGGGGGAGGGGCACCCACTTTGTCTTCTCACCTTAGTGTATTTTATATGGGCCTTGAAGTACAGAGTACAGGGGCCAGAGGTATGTAATGTGGTCCTAAACTCTAATGGGACCACATTAGAGTTTCTTTTCCTTTCTTTTTACCAGCCAATTCTATCACCCTCATCAGCAGTTAGGAGCACACTAGAAGGCCCTGTTTTGCAGCCCTTCATTTGCCGTGGGTTGGAGGTAAATGGAACTCCAGGACTGGGGGGGAGATGGAGTTCTCTCTCCCGGGTCTGGGGGGCCCTGCTGCACCTGCCTATCGCCACAGGGGCGCACTCTGGAGGAGACAGTGCTCATTAGTGTGGGCTGCTTAGCTGACCGGACAGAGGGAGACAAAGCACCCAGGGGCACCTTACTAAGGATGGAGTGTCAGTTTTACGAAATGAAAAAAGAGTTCTAGATACGGGTGGTGGCGATGGTTGCAGAGTGTTGTAAATGCATTTGATACCACTGAACAGTACACTTAAAAATGATTACGATGGTCACTTTTATGTCATGTATATTTTACTACAATAAAACAATTGGAAAGAAAAGAATGAAATTGAGATTCCAGTGTTGGAGTATTGGAATACTCAAACATTGTTTGATATTTGAGATTCCAAACATTTGAGTATTCTTAGGACCTTTACATCCTTAAAAATGACTGAGAAAGCCCCTGGAGCGTCTGCTAATCTGGGTTTTATCTGTCAGTATTTATATTAGAAATGAGGATAGATACAGGCATTTAAAGTACTTATGCATTAATTCATTTATAATAATAATCTCATTTGTTTCCAAGCAAAGCTATTGTAAGAGTGGCATTGTTTTACATGTTTGTGAATTATTTATTACCTGGCTTAATATGAGACACCGAGATTCTTAAACTCACTGCTCTATTTGGTCTATGTTCTCACACACCATATACCTTCTAGAAAGCTCCATTGGACACTTGGGGGAGGATGACAAAGAAGCAGGAAAATGACATCTTAGTTTATTATAAAAATAGGCTTGATCTCATGCACCATTTAAAGGGTCTCAGGAACCCCAGGTGGCCTCCGACCCCATTTTGGGAACTACTGGTATAGGATAAATCCACGGACAAGGTAATTTTTTGTTATGTTGTATGTTTTAGCCTCTTTTCATCTAATATCACTTGAGTTCGAACTTTAGCAATTCTGTCTATTACTTCTATGATTTCAAATAAAAGAACTAGAGGAACCCTTCAGAAAAACGTCCCACATTTTTTTCTGAGTTTATAGAACAAACAACAGCGATCTTCCATAAACGACATTTGTACCATTCTATCGTGGACGCCTTCCCGGTAGAATGTGTGGAACTACTTTGAATTTCCCTTGCTCAACCCACTTGAGTAGAACACTCACAGACATGGACACCTTGCGTGTGAAAACCAGGTAAAGAAAGCCAGGTTTCACTCCAGGGCATGCAAAGTTTGTTTCTTTCCAAAATGCATTCCTACTTCCTGTGGAGTGAGGACTTTAAAAAAAAAACACCCTCATCTGAGGATATGTTTATTGATTTTAGAGGAAGAGAAAGAGAGAGAGAAACATCGATATGAGACAGAAACATCAATGGATTGCCTCCCGACACCCCAAACAGAGCTCAAACCGGCAGCCTCGGTGTGTGTCTTGATTGGGGATCGAACCCGGGACCCTTTGGTGTATAGGATGATGCTCCCACCAACCGATCCACCTGCCTAGGACCAGTGCAAACTTCCTTTCAGCATCTTGGGTGGAAAGCCTGCGCCTGTCCAGAGGAGGTGCCTAACCTGGTCTCCTGGGCTGGGTCCTGAGCTGTCAGCCATCTGTGCTCTGCTTGCTGGGGGACGTGAGTGCTCATCAGAGGGTCTCATTTGCCTCTTTCCCCTCTGTCCCACCTCGTTCTTCCTTGTGTGGAGAACTCGGACACTTAGGGAACAGACTGGGAAAAGCAGAGGTATAAGAATGCATTTTAATAAGTCAAATAGCAATCCTTTTCACTTGCATTGCCTGGGGATCTCATTATTTTATAATTCTTTTCACGTTGATGAAGTGTGGAGTTGCTCATAGCAGATAGTGCTGGGCAGAACATTAAGGAGTCCTAGCGTGGCTTCCCCAAGCAGAATGGGATGTTTGCGAAAGCATGAAGACATTATTTTCTACTTTCTAAATAATGGATTAGATGTTCTATAAACCATCATATTTGTTTTACTATGTCTTTTAAAAAGTTTAGTAACGCTTTCTTTTCACCTCACCAAATAGTCACTGTGGCAATTTACTACAGCAGAGAGCACTTGGCTCTTGGAGAATTTTGTTGAAAATATGCTGAGGATTTGTGATTTGGCAACAGCACTCTGTGGCTTCTAGCAGCAATAAACGCTTCTCTACGAGCCTTTGGAAATGTCTTCACGTGCCAGGTGTTCAGACTGGGTACAGAGAAACGCTGGCTTGGTCAGGCAATCCACCCCAGTGTCCTGGAGCCCCTAGGAAAGGCTGTGTGATGAGAAGACACCCCCCAGCAGCCTCCTCCAATCTATTTTGAGCAGGAAAACCCTGGCCTTCTACCCTTAAGAGAGCGCTCATTTAGTCTTATTTCCAGCAGACATCTCCCTCCTCCTGTCTGCTGTGTGCCAGACATGGAGATCACTGGGTATCAATGATACTGCTGCCAGTTGGGGTTCTGCCGGCACAAAGAAGAGGTGCCTGTTCATGCTGGATGTGTGTGCACGAGCCTGTGCGTGTGGTACATCAGAGGAAAGTGTCCTGCAGGCTGTGACATTGGAGCTGATTTCTTGCAGACAGAACTGGAATTAACTGGAAAAGAAGGGAAGAGAAGGGACAGCTTCACTGAGGTTTGGAAACGAGGGTGAGGACGGTAAACATTTGATGGAGCTTCAGCAGAGGACTCTGAAATAGGTTGGTGGGCGCTGAGACCAGAGACCTAGGCAGCCATGCTCTTGCTTGGAATCCCAGGAGTTGGGTCTCCATCCTGAAGACACGAGGCGGCCACTGAGGGTTTAGGCGAGGTATTGACACTTCCTCATTTGTGGTTTAGAAAAGTCCCTCTGGCCACTTGTGGAGAGGGATGGGGCATTTGTGAGACAGGGGACAAGATGATGTCACTGTCACTACTGTCACTGGCTTATCTCCCAGAGTGACTGGAGGTCACCTCTGTCATCCAGGTAGTTAATTTGGCCTGTCTTGTGATTCCTCAAATTCCTTAATCTTCTAAATTCTCTCTACCTGGTATTTTAACGCCAACAACGGAGAACTCTCTGGGAAAGTTGAGTGAAATTTTTGGCCACGCGCCGGTTTTCCTCTTCCCTGAAGCGCCCATTTCCTTCGGGTAATGACCCCTTCCTGTTTGAATGTTGTCTTGGTGGAACTTTAAATGCTAAGGATGTCCCCGGCGGTTCCTTCTACCAGCTTCTTCTGGTCCCAGCCCCAGTGCAGCCAGTGTGAGGACAGGTGACATAGGCTTAGCCCAGCCTGTGGGGTGCTCTGACAGCTGAGTGACTCAGGATGGAGGAGGCCACCGAATGTGTTCGTTCCTGTACCGGCCCCCCGACCAGACCTCTTCTGTGAGTAGTTTCTGCTTCCAGGGCCTTCCGACGGGCCCTGGTTCCTGCCTGATTCCAGGTGTGGTTCTTCAGACTTCAACCTGAGGGCTTCGGGTAGTCTTCTGACAAAAACCGCATTTGCTTAGTCAGCCACACCAGTTGCTCTTGCTTGTATCCAAAGAACCCCAAAGAGATCAGGGAAATGTCCAAAGGTCTTACTTCACGCCATTAGTAAACACTCATCTCATGGCCGTCTCACCTGGTTTTAAAAAGGGAACAGGGAGCAAACGTGAGGATGGTGTTTGCTGAAAGCGGTGAAGGATGGACTGAAAGGGGCGCAAAGACCAAGGCGCTGGCTTCCGGCCTTGCTGCCGGTGGTCCTGCTGCGGGAAGCTTTGCCATAGATGGGTCTGCCTGCGGAGGTTGGGGTGGGGTGGGGTGGGGCGGAAATAACATCAAATACACTCGGCAAATTCTGTGAACTTAGAATTCCAGTTCTTACTCAAATGACACTTGGGGCTTGACAATCCTTAATGGCAAAAATAATAAAAATAAATATTTATATAGCACTTATATAAAGTGCTGGGTACTGTTCTAAATGTGACATGAGTATTAGCTCACTTTATTGTCATTATAATACTTTGATATATGTATTATTCTCCTTTACTACATGAAATGATTGTATCTGTCTATCTATCTATCTAAATAGACGAGGCAACATCAAAGAGAGGTTTTAATAATTTACTCAAGTCATACAACTAGAAAGCAGGAGAAAATAAAATCCTGTGCATTTCAGGGGTAATGTTCGCTGGCATGAAGAATGAATCTGGGGTGAGGAATGGGCATGGGTCTGAGGCAGGGAGGACTGTTGTATAAGCCATGGACCTGGACTGTGCATGTGGGTTGTACAGGGGCAGGAGGGATGGGGAGAGGGAAGGGATTTGGGGGACCTGCAGGACTGGAGGATGGAGGGAAAGTGTGGGCTGTTTTATTTTGAGGTCGGGCCATTAGCACGGACATGTCCCATAGGTCTAGGCCGTTATGAGAGTCTGAACGGCAGGAGGGAGGCCTGAGGGGAGATACACACGCCTGGGCTCCGTAGTCGTTGGATGAAATTCCCAGGAAGGGAATTTCTCCCCCTGCCAAAGCCGGGGGAGCCAGGGGGATGAGTGGGGAGAGGACACAAATTGGAGGCCAGCAGATCGTATTCAGGCTACAGATTTGTTTAATTCGGCTTGTAGTCTTCAAACATTACAAATCGTAGTTGCCAACATGTAAAAACATAGGGAAAGTTCCCATAAAAATGAGAAAGGTGAGTGTTTTTACACATCGGGAGATCTGACCACCCAAAGCCCACAGGTGAGGGTGTGTGAGCCCCTTCTGACCAGGTTGGCGCACTCCAGCTTGTCACAGTGGCCTCGCGTCCTCCTTTTTCATTTTGGCCCCTGCCTGGCCCCTGCAGGTTTTTTTTTTTTTGTGACCCCAGATTTAAGGTATGGGAAGCAGAAGCAGAGTTCCACAGGAAACCAAGCGTGAGTAGTGAGACAAGAGGGGTTGGGGCACTGCAGGGCCTGGCGGGTGGGCTGCGTGGGCCAGGTGAGCCACGTGTGCATTGGAACAGTCCTTTGGGTTTGGACCCTTAGCAAAA